ATCGGTAACTAGTAACGGTAACTTGTTACTTTTCCTACTCGGTAACGAGTAACTGTAACTTGTTACTTTTAAAAAGTAACTTTCCATTCCCTGTTAATATCTCAGATCACAAGATAGAACGACGCTTTTTTGCTAGATTCTTTCATTTCATGCAAAAATGCGTCAGATAAGCCTAAGAGTGGTTTCACAAAACTTTCCGATTTTAATAATTTATTCGATCATCCGCTCATATGTACGCGATGGAAAGATGCCGGTTCCCCAGAGGCGTACTTTTCGAGATACGTAGGTTACGAAAACCAATCGTAAATTCATTTAGCATTTCTGTTAGAGTGTACAACAGAAATTCTAATCAGCAATTGGTTGCATTAGTTCCGCATTTCTCTAAATTCCGAGAAATACGCTCTATGTGAATGCCTGTCTTCAGAATGGCGTAATGTATATTCTATCTAGTAAATTACTAGAATACGCAGGTTTTAAGCTGGAAACACAATAGACACAGGCAATAGGCACAGGCAACAGGGAATAACGAACCGTCCAATCAGAGCTCTGGGATATAATATCGAATACTTTTACGCAGGTTACGCTGCATGTGACGGCATCCTTATTCATCGGCAATTTGGTATTTTATGGCTATGGTCCACTTGATGCTACAAATGTGTCAAAGCATTTTTTGATTGGTCAGTTCGTAAAATTCTTTCTTCCGATTGGTCAATCAAAAGTTTCGAAGCATTTGTAGCGTCAAATGGACCGCACCCTATATAAGCTATTTTGTGGGCATGGGTAGATTTCCTTCTAGGAACGTTAGTAGCAAACTAGCAAGAAGTATCGCGTACGATTCGAAAATCGAAAGAGGTCCAGAGAGAAAGATAGATATAGAGAAAGAGAGTGGGAGAAGGCGAAGAGCGAGAGAGTAAGAGTGCGTGCAGCGTGACAGGATAGAGTGTGAGGCAGACGCGAGCGGCGAGACTGACCGGCGGGCGTGACGGTTGCAGTCGCGCGTTTTTTCATAGTCGCGAATTGTGAAATAATCGTCAGCAAAACGGCTGCGGGTAAAAAGTCGGCCAAGAAGATGGCGGATTCCGAGGAACTGGAGGTGAGTGGGTGCGCGTTATAAAGGGAGCAGGTGCACAGCTGCACGAGAGAAACGCTGTACTACGGCTTTCTCATCATGTGAGGATTCCGCGTCGCGTCGTCTGGTATCGCGCGTCGATTTCCGAGATTATCTGAGAGGAAATGATCCGATTGATCCTCTCTGGAACAAATTAACCGAGCACGCGTCGCTGAAGGAGTCGGTTTCATTTTCTACTATCCAGTTCATTTTAATCCCTTCCAGTCCCTTCGCACTGTGTTGCAGTCCCCGTGCCGTGCCGTACCTAATTCCGTGGATGCGTGCTTCGTGCTATGCACGCCCTCGGTGCGTGCCGGGTCGACTTTGTTCGCTGGCGCGTGTTCTGTTGCGAGTTGTCGGACAGTTGGTGTCTGTTAACGATTACGCAGTGCGAAACTGCTGCGGATTTACTTCACGCTGGATCAGGGACATTACTGGTAGATCGCACCGACAGGGGCGACGGGCACAATCCTGGGAATTCGGGAGATCCGCGGCTCCGGCGGTTCACAACGTGTTCGCGCGTGGAGATACAATGGGTAACCTCTAACTTCACCGTCCGTTTTCATATGACGTTTCGCTGGAATGGAATGGAACATTGTTATTTTGGATTTCGTTCGCGTGACACTGCGACTGTCGCAATACTTGCGTGACGCCGTGTTATTTTTGTGACACTAGCTATTATTTTTGTAAATACCCAAGTGAATTGGACATGTGTACAGTGAGATACTCTTTTGTGATTGGCTCATTTAAAGTACTAAAAAAAAAAATTTCTAATGTATACATTCTGTGACAATTTTTGTTGAGAAGAAGTATTTGTTGATTTATAGTAACGTTTTCAACACATACATTATAATTTGTCACCATCATTCGTGAAAGATTATACTAGGAGGACATAAGGGGAAATGGATGTTCTGATTGCAGAGTATGGTATTAAGTTTTCGAGTGTCTGAGCTTCAGATGCTTCTTGGTTTCGCCGGTAGAAATAAGTCCGGCAGAAAGAACGAGTTGCAAGCTCGTGCATTGGAATTATTGCGCTTAAGATCACATCCAGCCATCCGGCTTAAAATACGTGAATTGTATAAAACGATACAGTAAGTGGAAAACTGCAAGTGAAAAGTCTGTACACTGCTTCTTTTTTACAAGTTATACACATAGTTCTGGTTACTTCAATGTTCCCAAAGAAATTAACAGAGTAGCTGAGTTCGATTTTGCAAATCAGAGACATCTGTAATTATTCTATAATAATCTTATGTTTATTTCACCGAATTTGGTGAACAAAAATGAGATGAGTATAGATGCCTTCGATTTGCGAAATCAAATGTAGCTAGTGAATAAGTGAAATAAGGAATAATCAGTCGCTATATTGAAAAAATATACTTTAGATTTTTGTTGTTCCAAGTGCAAAAGGAAATCTTTTTCCAGGGCAGATCAAATGGCAACGCATCAAATGTATGGGCAAACTGGTAGTTCCTCTGAGCCACAAATTGACCAAAATATGCATAATCGAAATTATTATTCAACAAGGTATTTTTATTGTTCATTGATACGTTTATATATATATGTACATTTAAGAATGAAAATATATATTTTATTAAGACAAGCGATTAGTCAACAACAACAGCAACAGGCATCAATTTCTGCTGGGAAAGAATTAACTCCTGCGCATCAAGCATCCTTACCTCAAGCACCTAGGACCAATCCAGTATATCAGTCAACTGGTTACACTAGTGTAGCACCACAGGTAAGCAAAAGTATATTACTCCTTTAATGTACATGAAAATTTAATGTTAGAAATGAATTTCCTTGTTATATAATTCATAAGAAATAAAGATTTATAATTATTTTTTGCTATTTATGAATTATATTAGAAATATTATTTTAAATAGACAAACATTAATACAAGACTACTAAATATAACGGCGTAGTAATTAATGTGTAATCAGATTTGCAATAAAAATTATACTTCATATTTTTACTTCATATTTTGTACTCCACATGGTGCAAAATCAAAAGCTTTTGCACCATTCAAGCTATTTTCAGCGATTAAAAGGATTGATTCCACATTATTTCTCATTTTGATGTATACATGGGTAAGCAATCTTCTTAATCTTCCATGATTAAGGCGAGTTTCTTCATTAGTTACTAGACTAACTGATATGTTGCTGATTTTGTTGTTGCTACTTAGCTAGTAGCTGGACTCGCTTTAATTATGAAAGGTTAAGAAGACTGCTTATTGATGAGAATGAGAAATAATGCGGAATCTATGGCTGCGTTTATGCCCTTAGTCTACGACCTATATGATAGATGTCCAGTTAGAGATGTAAAATTACCGTCAAATTCAATTCGACAATTACGATAAAATGGTAATTTATTGGTAATTTTGATAAAATGTGTGTTTTTATAGTTTTGTGCACAAATAGGTTTTATTTATGTTTCACATTAATGCATAATATAAAATAATATTCTTTTAATATTCTCATCGAGAATATAAATCGCTGATAGAATAATAATAAGACTTCACTAAATGTAAACATCAAATCTAATCGATGCTAAAATCCGTTTTTAATATATGGTAATATATTCCCTAGAGATTTGATACAGTGACTAAAAAAAATAGAAAGCGATGCAGATTAAAAATTCCAGTATTTTTTTTACATAATTCTTTGTTTTATATTTTAAAATCTAGCTCTTTTTACTAAATTACTTAAAATTATTCTATATTTCTATTTAGATATTCCGGCAATAGTGCAATTACAGAAAGATTATTTTATTTTTTATGTATAATTGTGTCTTTATTTTTACTTTAATAAAAATTTTAACAGTCTACTAGCTAAAATAGCAAGCAAATAAATGGAAGTTTTATAAATTTAATTGTAGAGTAAAAAATATAAAAATACAAATTTAAAAAATCAAAATATATACAAAATAGTTTAAGATTACTGTATTTGTTTCATTTTTTAGAATCCTAATAAAAAAAACTTATTTAAAGTTTCTTTAGTTTAGACTATGTATCTAGCCTTTTAATTGTCATATTCAATATATAATAATTAAAATAATTAATATTACACATTAATATTACATATTAATATACAATATATTATATTGTATATCAATGTATAATATCAAAATAAAAATATTAGTTAAAATAAAGCGTTTTAAATTTAATAACTGAAGGCTAAATACTTTTACATCAAGTTATTTTATTTTTATAATTTAAAAAATTACTGTTTTATCAGCCTCCAAAAATTATTGACTATTTACCGTAATTTACCGAATAAATTACCGTAAAATTTGGTCATTTTCATCTCTAAGTGTCCTTATCCTGTATGTTAAACAAAGACGTTTATCGTACAAACTATAGATCATGGACTAAGTGCTCGGTGTAAACATAGCCAGTGTTTTTAATCATTGAGTATGACTTGAATGAAACCGAAACGTTTAATTTTTCGTGTGGAGTACAAAGTATGAAGTAAATACATTTTTATTTTTACTGGAAATCTTATTGCATATTAAGGGATAACGCCACTCTAGAGCTCGAAAAAAAAGACATGTTTTTGATAATTTTTTACGGAGATACAATAAAGGAAATGGGAAATCTGTTTACAGGAGTTTATTATACATGTTTTGTAGTAAATTAAAAAATTTTTAATTAACATTTTTAAACAAAATGGCGGCTACATGATACAAAACTCGAAACTACCTCTCGCCGAAGGACCGGAAAAGTTTCTCCCACAATTTTCAATCTGGAACAAAAAACCAAAATTTTTTGAAAACTATATATGATTAGCTACAGAAGTGTCGGCGAGAGGTGGTCTCGAGTTTCGTATCATGTAGCGGCCATTTTGTTTAAAAATGTTAATTAATTAAAAAATTCTTTTATTTACTTCAGAACATGTATGATAAACTTCTATAAACAGATTTCCCATTTCCTTTATTGTATCTCCGTAAAAAATTATCAAAAACACGTCTTTTTTTCGAGCTCTAGAGTGGTATTACCCTTTAATTAGTGTTATTCTCAATTGCCTTATATGTTTATTGTATTTTATTTTGTTTATTTAGATATTGAGGTTTTTTTAAATGATTTTATTATTTTAAATGTTTTTTTCAGCGTGCTACAAGTACAGCATATAGTCCATATCAGCAGTCTGTATACCCAGCCAAAGTTTTACCAGGTCCATTACAAATACAACCTACAAGCCAATATCCAGTTCATCCAGATGTTAGGTTGAAGAAACTTCCATTTTTTGACTTATTAGGTGAATTATTGAAACCTTCTAGTTTAATGCCACAGGGAACGCTGAGACTGCAGGAAAACACATTCCTGTTTCATTTGACACCACAACAAGCGACAGATATTGCAAGCTCACGTGATTGTCGAGCTGGCAGTAAAATGGACTATGTTGTACAGGTGAGTTTAAATTTAATGTATAGAACTTTAAATCTTCATAATAAAAAAGGACATATAAATAATCGTTAAAAAATGTTTTGTTATGTTATTAGTATGTTTATGAATTTCATTTAATTTATTATAATTAGGTACAAATGCGATTCTGTTTACAAGAAACATCATGCGAGCAGGAAGATTATTTTCCTCCAAACATTGCAGTAAAAGTTAATGGAAAATTATGTCCTTTACCGGTACGTCAAACTAAATTTATACATATCTTTTCAAAATTATACATATAAGTACAAGTTTTATTTGAATTAAAACAATAGGTAAATTTGTTTAAATATAAATAGAACCTTTAAGTTCGCTACTCAATGAATACACAAAAGATTTTACGTTTATACGTAAATGACAATTAAATTATTCTAGAAAATAACAAATGTTGAAAAATGAAATAAATATTTTTTTAGAATCCTATACCCACTAATAAACCAAGTGTAGAGCCAAAGAGACCACCACGGCCTGTCAATATTAGTCCTTTAGTGAAATTGTCACCTACTGTTGGAAACGAGATTCGTGTTACATGGTCGGCTGATTATGGTAGACGATATGCAATTGCAGTATACCTCGTCAGAAAATTATCCAGCGCGGAATTACTTAGTAGATTAAAAAATAGAGGTGTAAGACATTCCGACTATACTAGAGGATTAAGTAAGCAATTAATTTTTTATCATAAATAGTATTAGAATAATAGCAAATAATTTTTTATTACGGAAATATAATTTATTTTACAGTTAAGGAGAAATTAAATGAAGATGCGGATAGTGAAATAGCTACAACATCACTGAGAGTATCGTTAGCTTGTCCTCTAGGAAAAATGAGAATGTGTACGCCATGTCGTGCATCGACATGTTCTCATTTGCAATGTTTCGATGCTTCTTTATTCCTTCAAATGAATGAGCGAAAACCTACCTGGAATTGTCCAGTTTGTGACAAGGCGGCACTTTATGATAATCTTGTAATTGATGGATACTTTCAAGAAGTTCTTAATTCAAATAAGTTATTGCCAGACGTAAATGAGATTCAATTATTGCAAGATGGTTCATGGGAGAATTTAGTACTGAAAAAAGAAAAAGATAAAGATAAGGATAAAGATAAGGAAAAAAGCGAAACAAAAACTGCGACTGATTCACGAGATAATAAAATCGATGTAGACACAGTGGATTTAGGTGAGAGGAAAATACTTGATGGAATATTGCAAAAGCTTAAAAGATTTATCAAATACACTATACGTTATATAGTATATCACCCAATAATACTCTAAATGAAAAGATAAATCTTTGAAATTTATAACAATTTAATTGAAGACATATGATACATACTATTGAATTTTTTTTTTTTTTTAATAAGTTCAGTAGTGCGATCTGTCTAGGTAGACATTTAGCAATAGTTGGGTCAATACGAATAGATGGGCATGGAATGAGCCCAGTGGCTCATCCGTAATATATTACTTCTAATCATTAATTAGATCTTGCGGGGCCTTTCTTTTCAGTCTGTGGAATATTTTCCTGGGATTCATTAGTTGTGATGTGCATAGGCATTAGGATGGGCCTGAATACGAGTTTTATATGCTTTGGTTCTGGTTTTAATTTCTTCTTTGACTGTGGGAATGTTGAGGTCATGGTGGAGTCTATTGTTAGTTATATATCATGGTGAGTTGGTGATCATTCAAAGTATTTTGGATTGGAAGCGTTGCAGGATCTCAATATTCGAATTGACAGTTATACCTCTAATTGCTTTCCTACTATACCTAATTGCATTCCATTGCTCCAGATAGGTATAATTGTGCATTTGTAGAATAATAATTTGTTCTTAAGAGAGAGTTGTGAATTCCTACATATGAGTCAGTAAAGTTTCCTTAGCTGGGCACCCATTGTTTTCCTCTTAGTGAAGATGTGTTTTTGCCAAGGGAGTCATCAATCTAGGTAGAGTCCCAGATATTTATTAGCTTGAGGAATTTGTATACCATTAAAATTCACAGTTGGACAAGTTTCTCGTCTGGTGGTAAACGTTACGTGTATAGATTTTGATTCATTAGCTTTGATCCGCCAGTTTTTTAGCCATTTTGATATCGACACCTGAACCGTAGAAGGTGTTATATCGAGAAAAACATGAAAAAGGGTCTATGTCAAAAAAGTAATGAAAAGTGGTCTATCTCGCGCGAGGCGTGAAGACCGGTCTATGTCGGAACACATGCGAAGTATGGTTTATATCGAGAAAAGCACAAGAAGAACAGTTTATGTCGCATGACTTTGAAGAAAGGTTTATCAGAATGTATATCGCGCTATGTTACTTTCTCATAAATTTTGTAGTGATATGACTATTTAGTGGTATGCAAGCGTAAATTAAATCTTAAAAATTTTTGTTAAGCTAATTCTTGTTAAGTTAAATTAGCATAATTGTTAATTAATATAATTAAAATATTACTGGTTTAATCCAAACTCTTGTCACATATCATATAATTTAAATTATTCAGATGTAAAAACTCAACAATGTTACACATTTATTTATCTAACACGAAAAGAAGACTATAATTTTTATTTTCTGTTAAAAAAATGCTACATATTTAGAAATAAAAAAATGTTTCATATGTAGAAATTACACAAATTTAGTTACCTGTCCTCAGTCATACCACTACAAAATTTATGAAAAGGAAACATAGCGCGATATAAATCCTGATAAACCCTTCTTCAAAGTCATGCGACGTAAACCGTTCTTCTTGCTTTTCTCAATATAAATCGTACTTTGCATGTGTCCCGATATAGACCGGTCTTCACGCCTCGCGCGAAATAGACTGCTTTTCATTACTTTTTTGACATAGACCACTCTTCTTCATGTTTTTCTCGATATGGCATCTTCTACGGCTCAGGCGTCAATATGTTGTTGAGACTTGTATGTAATTTAGCGGATGCTTCAGCTAGAGGTCTGCAAAACATTTTCAACTCGGGCTTGAGCTCGATAGTCTATATTTCTCAGACTTGATGTTTATTAGGAGGAGTGGGGATAAATGAAATCAAAGAAGTGGGGAAAAAAAAAGCCTGAGTTCAACTCATCGAGAGGCTCTATACGAATTCGAGCCGTTTAGGCCTAAGATAGTACACAGTCAATATTATTTAAAATCGAAAGAAGGATGTTACGGAAAGACCTTATTTTTGCCCACCTCGGGAAAAGGCCTTTTCGTAATAATACTCTTTTTTTCGAAATAATAGGACATATAAATATGTAACTTACATACACAAACATGCGCGCGCGCCCGCACGCACGTGTGAACTCTGCGTTAATAAAATTTCTCTCTATATGCACTATTGGGTATGCCATTTTAACTTTGACATCGTAATATCTTAAAAATTATAAAAGATACGGAAAAATGTTTTAGATAAAAGTTGTAGAGTTTAAGAAGGTCTATTTACTGATCGTATCCGTTTGACATGATTAGGTGGCGTTAGAACAAGGTCAGAACGAGGTTACATTAAATTTTTGAATAGCTTGTACCGAGTAGACAATAAATCTCGATAACATAATCTCTTCAAAATGATTGACTCAAAGTGAATCAAATTATAGTGTTTTGAAAAGGTCTCAGGAAGATTAGATTATTATTTTATTGTTATATATAATGAATACTCTTTTTATTTTACAATTATTATTTTTTTACAATATTTTAATCAAACAATTAATTAAAAATTCTGTAATCAGAGCTTTTTTATATAACATGCGTACTGTAACACGCGTCAATAGCATTAATAACAATAATAACATCTTTTTGAACACATCTTATATTCATGCGATGCTATTGTTTTTATAATATCGATTTCAAGAAACATTGACTGTCTCAATTCAAAACATTTTAAGTATCGAGCTTTAAACTAGACAGAAGCTCGAGCCTAAAAGCTCGAACTTCTAGTTTTTCAGCCGAGCTTGAGTCTGAAGTTATGACATATTGCACGCCTCTAGACTCAACTGGATTAGCATCAATAGCCAAGACTGCAGTATCGTCCCGTTATCATGTTTTCGGTGAGAGGAAGGTCGAATGTGTAAATAAGGTACAGGAAAGGACTCAGAACTACTCTGTGGAACGCCAACTTGAATTTCGTAAGGTTTGGTAACTTTATCTTTCTACTTAATAAAGAAGCTACGGTTGCTAAGATATGAGTTAATAAAATTGTAATAGTTTATTGGGAGCGTATTTTTAGTCTTATATAAAAGACCTTTGTGCCAGACTCAGTCGAAGGCTTGTGATATATCAAGAAATACTGCAGAACAGTACTTTTTTTATTCAAATGTTGAGTTTATCTTTTCTACAAGTCTATGGATTTGCTCGATTGTATTGTGCTTTTGCCTAAAGCCAAATTGGTGGTTTGGAATCAACTGATTTTTCTCTATTATTGGCATAAGTCTTTTTAGGAAGAGAATTTCCAGCACTTCAGAAGGGATTGGAAGAAGGTTTATTTGATAATACGATTTAACATCGTTAAAATATTTTCCAGGTTTGAGGATTATGATTACCTAAGCTACTTTCCACTGCTGAAAAATAAATCCTATTGCGTTGTAGAGTTGAGTAAGCTAGATAATACCTTCTTTGGAAAGTTCCTTCAGAATTTTAGCAGTGATCAAATCGTAACCTGGAGCTTTACGTAGGTTTAATTTGCTTATTGTTTGGATTACTTCGTTTTTCGAGAACTTGCTAATAGGTAAATCCAGTTGATGAGTTTAATTCAGGTAATCAATCACTTCCTCCATTTTATTAGTATCTCCTTGGAAGGAGTTAGGTGCGAAGACACCTTGAAGATGTGCTGCAAATGTGGCAGCTTTTTCTATCGCTTTTCGCTTATGCACCATTAGTTTTCCTAATATGTGGTTGAGTAAGTATGAGTCGTTTGAGTTTCCCTGTCGCTTCCCATAGGGAATAATCAGCTGCTGCTGTCGCGTTTAAGTTTCTAAGATATGTTTCGATTCCCTGGTTTTTATCGTTGCGTAATAATAATTTAAGCTTTGCGTGATTGAATTTAATCGAGTCTTGTCGTAGGGAATCTAATTTGCTGCCATCACTTCCTTATTATACGCAGCTATTGAAATGTTCCACAGCTTCTATAATATCGTCGGTCTTCAATGATAGTTTGATGTTTAGAGAGGAAGACATTAGTTGTCTAAAAGAATTCCAATCAGTTTTATGATTATGAGGTTTACATGATCTATCTACATTGACGATTTTTCTGTTGAGTATAATTATAACCGGCAAATGATCCAATGAGAGGTCAAAACTGGAAAAACAGTCAGTAAGCGAATCCACAATTCCCTTTGATAAGCAGAAGACTATTAAATCGAGGATTTTCTTACTGTCTGTAGACCAGTAGGTCGGCTCCCCGGACGATATAATATTGAGTTTCATAGAATGGATAGTAAGCAATAGTTGATGTTCCTTAAGATTATTTAGACGTGAGCCCCAATGAGTATGTTTTGCGTTGTAATCGCCTCCAGCTAGAAATCTTGGGCCCAGGGAATTAAAGAAAGTTTCATAGCCTTCTTTGTTTATGCTATGTCTAGGTAGGCTGTATATGGCTGATTAGGAGCGATCCCTTCCAGTTTTCGGTAACAACGTTAGTAGCTTGAATTTCTTTGGAGCAGTAATGTTCTTTCTCGTAATGTTTAATGTTATGTTTAATTAGAACAGCGAACCCTCCATGTGCAGTGCCATCAGGATGAGTCATATGATAAAATCTGTATTTTGGAATATTATAGTAACTTTTGCTTGTAAAATGTATTTCTGAGATTAATAGGATATCAACCTGTTGTGTCTCTAAGAAAGATTTAACTTCTAATGTGTATTGTGAGAGCTCATTGGCATTCCATAGCGCAATTTTGAAGGCGTTGAATTCTGTGTTAATTTTGACATGAGTGTAGTGAGAAGATTTGTCAATGTTATCATCTGCTGCATCATTTGTTGGAGCATAACCATTAATCTCTACATATCATTATTATTAGCAGGTTGAGATTCTTTAGTGGTTTGTAAAAATTTGTTTGTATAGACTGTTCCTTATTTTTCAACGCTTGCGCATAGGAAGTTTTGGGACGAGTAGTTTGGAATGTTATTGGAGTTGGAGTTTCGATTACAGGATTTTTCGGCATATCAGTCATAACTTTTTTTCTTATCGTGGGTAATCTAGATTTATACAGGTTTTGATAAACTATACAGCCTTTAGTTTGCTAGGTGATTCCCTGCACATAGTGTGCATTTAACGTCATTTGACCTGTCTTCTTGCACAGCTAGCAGAGGTGTGATCTCCAGCGCATTTAATGCACTTGGGTTTTTGCCTACAATATGTTTTTGTATGTCCATATTGTTGGTAATTAGCATATTGTGGTATGTCGCGTCTTGGTCGAATGTAACTCGGCTGTGGATTAGACTTTTTACTTCATAGATGTCTTTATTATCTTAAGGTTTGTTGACCTTCCTGTACTAATTGGTTGATGTCTGTAAAGCCACTAAAGGATGAAGAACATTGTCTTTCGGACAAGACGCTTTTTCGCGAGACTAACGAAGTGTAAAGTGGTTGGATGGAGTAGAATCCTGCTCATTTTGATCGTTATTGCCATCATAATTGTTAGGTTTCTGATTCACATTATTATTGGAAAGCAATGATTGCTCCCCCCTCCCTCCCAGAATCCTTGGGGCCAACCTCAAGAGGGTGGATTGCCCGAGTTATTGCTTGAAATATCACCTGGGGTATTATTCTGCCAAGATTGTTTTCTTCATTGCCAAGTTTTGTTGTTAATTTTGGTCCACTCCGGGTATTTTATTTCCCCGGTACCCTCCGGCAAGCCGGCGAGCATTCCTCACTGCGCCACCAAGGGAGGCGCCCTATGGAGGATTAGCAACCCCACAAGGGACTATTGAATTTGGCATTATTGATATGAATAAATTCTTTATAGTGAGAGAATGATTATAAATATAAAATAAAAATAAAATTTTTTTATGATCTAAGTGGTATTACATTTTATAGATTTTATTTATTTTTCTGAAATTCGATATTTGTACTTTGGTTTTGTATTATTTATAAAGATCTTTGCCTAGGATAACAGAATAATGAGACGAATCAATTGGCATATATAAAGAAAATACATACACAGAATTATCCATTTTGCTTATATGTATATTTTAAAGCTAAATTATGTTTTCTTGACTCCAATTCGTTTACCACTAGCGATTCCTCTTATTATTCTGTTCATAAAAGGTATAATCAAAAAATTAATACATAGTTTACGAGATATTTAATATTTCATGTCAATATATGCTAGAATAAAATATAAAATATCTTGTAAATAATTGGTTTTTTTATATCTTTACCTTAATACTTTTATATGTAGAATAATTAGAAAAATCATATTTTTATTTAATAAAGTGAAGATGACCTTCATATCTTTTTGACCCCTCCACCCAGAAAGAACAACGTAACTAAAATTTCCTTTGAAATCATTTTACTTTCATCTGAAACATTTTGTTTGTATCTTATGTATTTTTCAAGAGATTTACTTGGGATAATTAAAATGGGACACTCTGTATATATACAGTTTCTTCAATATTATTTTATTTTACATTAAACATAAGCGTTATATATAATACGACGTTTTGTTTATTTGTTCAGATGAAAGCAATCCTCCGGCACCAAAGGAAAAGAAACGTGCTGTCGTTATCGATTTGATATCAGATAGTGATGATGACGATGAGGATAACACGCCGACACAAAGTACAAAGAAACCAGCCAGTGGCATCTCATCGCCAAAGAAATCGCAGACCAGCTCCATTAGTAGTACAAGCGAATCGCCAGAATTAATGATAATCGATTTAGAATAAAGGATTGTTTGATATACTATAGAATTTTTTGTAAAAATTATATTTTCCTTTATAAAGAAAAAGATCTTGATAATTTTTTTCTCTTTATATACTCAGTCGGCACGTTTGTATGACACACACACATTAAGTTATAATTTATTACTTTCGAGGAAGTGTAAAATAAATAAAGACGTTCATTTATTGTAACTTTAATAACGTTCCATTCTCATATACAAATACATCTCATATATTTTATTCAATTTTACTTGGCAAACAGTGTAATGCTAAAATTACGTCTGGTGAGACTGCGATAAGCAAATATTGTAATAAAGATTTTATTTTGACCGATGATGTGATCGCTGTGGAATAATTATGTAACTGAAAATAAAGTTACCTTTGTTTTTTGTAACACAAACTTATTGTTAATCTCAACATAAGATCTTGCGTATATAAGCTATCTAATTCATACTTTATTTTTTATTTCACTTTTGCTACGTTCGGTTATAGATTCAGCGCATGGAAGATGTGTACAACAATGCTTTTTTTCATTTAATGAGAATTAAAATTACTTGGTTTCATATTGCAGTTATATTATTATGATATCAAAAGCGAAAAATTACGTAATTATTTCCTTGCATTGTATGTCAAAATAAATCCATTTTGTGCGTGTCACCATTGGCGATAATACATGTAAATAGTAAAATATATCGACAAGTTTTTTAAATTGTTCTACGATATTAAATAAATGTAATTAATTTTATATTTTTTTATATTACTCAAAAAAAATAAATTATGTACAATTACTTATTAAAAGACAATAGTGTATTCTTTATAATTCTTGTGTAGTATTTTGCAAAAGATCCCACATACACAAAAACTTAATTTTTTTTTATTTTTGACTTTTAGTGAAATTGACTTAAACTAATATGTTATAGTTTTTGACTCATTGATCAAATGTTTCTCTAGGCAAAATATTCATAAAAAATGAATATATTTTGCTCTAGGCAAAAATTCATAAAAAATGAATATATTTTGCTGTAGCACTATTGAAGATTGCTATTTTCCAATCTAATCGGACTGGAAAATATCTTTGTCTAGTAAACTATTCATTTTTTACTTTTATGCACAGACTAATGAAATGATGTAAAGAAAACGCCCCAAGCAGCACACAGCGCCTACAAAGTACAAAATGTTAAGAAAGTCGTAAAAAGTATATAAGCGCTTTTTTTTAGCGCTTTGCAGGTGCTGTTGTGCTACTTGGGACATAGTTGCTTTTCAAAAAAAATTATGCAATTTACAATGTGCATACTACCTGTGGTCGAGCAGACGGCTCGCGCCACAAGACGTGCCCGCGCGCCGTGACTGAGGGATTACTTAGGGTGCGTTCCGTTTCTCGCATGATGCGCATAATGCATCGTTTATCCTTGTTGCTCACCAAACGTTAAACAAGGACAATGGATGCATCATGCACATCATGCGCGATACGGAACGCACCATTAGTAATCCCTCAACAGACGAAGACGAACAGCCAGTGGTCCTCGAGGTACCCGCAGTGTTGTTAAGACGGCCGACGAGCCGGATTTCTGACGCATGCGCGTCCAATGTAGCTCCAGTAACGTACCGGTCACTAATAAATAGGAGATCATTAGTCGCCTATGTAAAATTTTTTCAAAAATGTTGAAAATTTTAATATATTTTACATATTTTACGTATGTAAACATATATTAATGTATTATATACAGGATGCCCCATAACTCTCCTGACAAATATCATGGACAGGTAAAGCGGATTAAACTGAAACGGAACGTCTTCTACCATTTTTCAATTTTCGCAATAATTAACGAGATATTTATAAAAATATCCAAATTCGCCCGGCCCACCGCCAAATGCAAGCGCGCGGCTCGATAGGACCGCCCAGCGCGGCGCGTCGCGCGCGCTCGCCATCGCTAGGCACGCGTTGTTTATAATAAGCAGCTATGGTCGTCGCTAGACATGAGTCGCGAATAGCGTCGAATTTCCAATTATAATTATTCTTTGAGCTATGATCATTCTCTGTTCATATCAAAACAAAATCTTCGTACGAAAAATTTATTTTTGCATGCACGATGTTCGGAAACATATTAGAAATTAATATCTCGGTTACGAAAATTAGGAAAATTGAGAACTTTCCAAGAACACAGTTTAGTTCGCTCTAAAGTGAACTTTCGTCGCGCTAGTCTCCGCGTTTTAAATTGTGAATTATTTCCTGACA